ATATATATATATATACTAAAAAGTAACAAAAAAGTAAAATAAATGAGCCTTGGGCTCTGCTGTGGCGGCACAGTGGTCACACGGAACGACCTACACTCACCCGTACGATGACCATGGATGCAAAGGGTGGCCGTGTCACCAATGTGCGCCCCCCCAGCTTATAACCCAGGAGAGCGTGAACATCATCCCCCCGGCCAGAATATGGAGAAAACTTCAAGTGACATTCTGCCTGTCATCCCTGGATCCCAGCTAGCCGACTGACAACCAGTAGGCACTTGCTAGATGTTGTCAGCCTGTCCTGCCTGGTAAAACGCCCCCCCCCCCCCAGCAGAGCCCCAGAAAGAATCTCCTCCGCAGGGACAGGACATGTCAGCTGCCTTGTATTTCATTAGATGTGTTCCTCCCTCACTGACATTCTCCATGGATCATTCCTGGAAGTAACAAGAGTTCCACATTCTAACCCGACCATCATTCCTGACTCTGCTAGTGAACACCTGGGAGATTTGGGTCTCCGTCTCCGCCCACTGCTGTGTGTCCAAGGTCCTACCTTTTACATAAAAAATATAAAAAATGACAGCAGGGATGATGGAAACCCCTCATAATAGGCACAGCGGGTGTGTACAGACCCGGGAACTCAGCACAGGGATGGTGGGAACCCATCATAATGGGCACAGCAGGTGTACAGACCTGGGAACTCAGCACAGGGATGGTGAGAACACCTCATAATGGGCACAGCAGTTGGACAGACCCAGAAACTCAGCACGGGGATGGAGGGAACACCTCATAATGGGCACAGTGGGTGTACAGACCTGGAAACTCAGCACGGGGATGGTGGGAACCCCTCATAATGGGCACAGGAGGTGTACAGACCCGGGAACTCAGCGCAGTATGAATTATTGATGGGTCTCACCTGTGAAGTGGGATTTGCAGGTCATTTCTGGATCACTTTGGAAGTGTCATCTGCACTCAGGAGCTCCACCATGGAAGGCCTGTTTCTGTACATTGGAGGTAGGTGGTGGATGGTGTGCAGAATGACAGGTTCTCTTTCTATCCTCCACCCGGGATCTTCACCCCGCTCTCCACCAATCCTGAAGGTGTCATCTGAGATCACAAGGCGGAGGTCCTCCCTGCTGGTGACAGGGGCTCTTCTGCAGCTTGGCAATGACTTCTCCAGCCAATAGAAAGCCCCAGCAGTGGTCAGGGCCCATTTACATACGTGCAGTGCAGTAACATGTGTCGTGTCCCGTGTCGTGTCCCGTGTTGACCTTCATTGCATTGGAACAGCTGACTAAGGATAATGAGCAACCAACCTTACACCGGCAATGCCCTATGGTGTGTCGCCAGGGGCGGACTGACCACTTGAACACTGCCAGAGGGCTCGGGGTCAGTAGGGGGCCCCATATATATGCCCCTAGTACCTTTTATAGGCTTTTTTGGGTGTGCTTTGAGTGTGGGCGAGGACACAGGGGCCCCATGATCCCCTATTGCCCGGGGGCCCCATGAGTTTTTGGTCCGCCCTGTGTGTCGCCATGCGTTGCAATGCACTGCAATACGGGATGGGCATTGAAATTGAATGGCACCACAACACATCATTTCCATGTAGTGTCCTATCCACCCTAAGTGGACTGGTGGGTCTGGGAGGAGGTGTGGCTTCCGTCATCATGTGATTGCTGTGATTGGCTCTCACACCGACACATGATCATGAGTCTGCTAGTTAAAGTGGACCGGTCATCAGATGAATTATCTCTGGATGAGCACAACCCTTCTAGGAATATAGAACCTCTCATAGACATTGCAGTACTCTCCCAACAATGCCTTCTTGTGTTTTTTTTTTTCCTTCTCCAAAACAGCGGCACCATGTTTGTTGAGGCATCTACTTCTACTTCCTAGATTGAGATGCCACAAGGATGTAAAACCCTGTTGCCTGTGCAGTTTTCTTGTTGCATTCACAAATGTCTGACACAGATCAGCCCCTGCTGCAGCCTTTTGATTTGCCAAAATACTTACAATGTACAGTCTGATCACTGGGGATGAGGGAGGGGGGGACTGAGGAAATGCTTCCACCAAAGGTAGCAGACAGAAATAGGAAAATCCTTTTATGGATAAGGATAAAATTTATAATATTAATACAATTAATGACAGTAAATGGTGGCAATAGTAATAATATTGGCGAAAATTAATACAAATAAAATGGTAGTAATAATAATAATAACAATGATATCACAAATTATTATTATTATCATCATCAATAATAATAATAAAAAAACTGCTGAAAAAGGGGAGGTGAAAAATAATGAAAAAGTTACTTTTATGTTGTTTATAAATAGGGAAAAAATCCAGGATAAGGATAAAGTGATAATAATAATATAAATAATAACAGTAAATGGTGGCAATAGTAATAATATTGGCAATATTAATACAAATAAAATGGTAAAAACAAATAATAATAACACGTATTATTATTATTATCATCATCAATAATACAAAATAATTTACAAAAAATATTGAACAGGGGGTGGTGAAAAACAATGAAAAGTTGTCTGTTGTCTATTGTTTTATAAATAGGGGAAAATCCAAAAAAGAGAAAATAATAGTAACAGGAAACAATGGTAGTAATAATAATAATGTCAATAATAATACAAATAATGAAAAAATAATAAAAAAAAATAAACTTGCGCCACAGAAAAAAAAATTATATGTAAACTTCAATCTAAATTTAAATGCTGCTGTTCAAGAAATGAAAAAAACAATCAAATATAAACACACTGCACACTTCACACTGTGGAGTGTTTATATTAATAATACAAATAAAATGGTAGTAATAATAATAATGATATCACAAATTATTATTATCATCATCAATAATAATAATAAAACTGCTGAAAAAGGGGAGGTGAAAAATAATGAAAAGTTACTTTTATGTTGTTTATAAATAGGGAAAAATCCAGGATAAAGGATAAAAGTGATAATAATAATATAAATAATGACAGTAAATGGTGGCAATAGTAATAATACTGGCAAAATTAATACAAATAAAATGGTAGTAATAATAATAATAAACAATGATATCACGTATTATTATTATCATCATCAATAATAATAATAATAATAATAATAATAATAAACTGTTGAAAAAGGGGAGGTGAAAAACAATGAAAAGTTACTTTTATGTTGTTTATAAATAGGGAAAAATCCAGGATAAGGATAAAGTGATAATAATATAATTAATGACAGTAAATGGTGGCAATAGTAATAATATTGGAAATATTAATACAAATAAAATGGTAAAAATAATAATAATAACACTTATTATTATTATTACTATTATCATCATCATCATCATCATAATAATAAAGAATACAAAAAAATGTTGAACAGGGGGAGGTGAAAAAACAATGAAAAGTTGTCTGTTGTCTATTGCTTATAAATAGGGAAAATCCAAAAAAAAGAAAATAATAATAATAATAATAGTAGTAACAGGATCAATGGTAGTAATAAAAATAATGTCAATAATAATACAAATAATGAAAAAATAATAAAAAAAAATAAACTTGCGCCACAGAAAAAAAATGATATATAAACTTCAATCAAAATTTAAATGCTGCTGTTCAAGAAAGGAAAAAAACAATCAAATATAAATATAAACACTGCACACCTCACACTGTGGAGTGTTTATATTAATAATACAAATAAAATTTTAATAATAATATAATCATCATTATAACAATCATCATAATAAAATCACTATCTATGATGACGATTATTATTGCTGCTACCAATTATATCTTCATTATTATTATTAATATGACTATTATTATCTTCGTTATTATTGTTTTAAAAGTTAAATCCATCTTCATAGATGTTCGTTGATTGGACAGAAGAGGTGAAATGGAAATAAACCGAAGAGATTTTTGGTTTTCCCTTTTTGTAAACAGACCAGTGCTATCATCAGCAGAGCAAATTTTCCTTCTCCCTCCCCGGTCCCAGTATAGGAAAATCTAGCTGCTTGCCATTGGCAACACAATTGGTCCTTCCTCCAGGCACCCCTTCCTGGTGGTTGGCCCCTGGTTGGTATTCTAGCTCCCTGGCTGGCAGATAAAGGACTTGTTCCCAATGTTATATAACGTGTATCTCTAGGCAAAGCCTTTTACTTTTTTAGTATCAAATAAAATGGGGAAATGTTAGACCCTCTGTCAGTTTTTTATTGCAGTCTTAGACCCCACTGGGAAAATACGCCCTTTGGGGACCATTGCAACCAAGAATGAATCCAAGAACGCAGCATTCCAGAGTTGTCCTGATGGTCGATCTAAGTGGGAAATTCCCTCACTTCGGAGAGCTTTCCTGTAACTTCCTGTTGCATCTCTGGGACAGGAGCTGCAGGGAAATTTTTCCACTGGTACACGGCAATAAAATCCTGAGAGGACTTCTGATTCTTCTCTCTTTTATCCAAAACTAAAAAAATTTAATATTGATACCAGGGGCAGACTGACAACTCATGGGGCCCCCGGGCAATAGGGGACCATGGGGCCCCTGTGTCCTTGGCCAAACTCAAAAAAGCCTATGAAAAAGGTACCGGGGGCATCTCATGGGGCCCCCTACTGACCTCGGGCCCTCGGGCAATGCCCGAGTTTCCAAATGGTCAGTCCGCCCCTGATTGATGCAGACTGACAAGAGGAGCCATTTTGTAAGGTGATCCATATTTTTTGGCTGTGTCCCCGTGTAGCATCTCTTCTAGTTTCACTGAACACTAGTCACAAAGAAAACCAGGAGCCATATTTAATGATGTTGAACCGGTTTTATTGGTAAAATGGACACTAGGGGGTCACACGGTGGGGCATGCTTTTCCTCTTGAAGAACTTCCATTGGACTTTAATCGTAAGCATCCAGTCGTTGACATATAGGCATTTACAAGCACATGGGCTGGCGTGCGCCTCGAAGGTAAGGGGGCGGACCCTCTCGGAAGGGCAGGGCTTGTGTGCCAGGCGCAAGGGGCCTGCAATTCATTTGCCAGCCTTCTGGGCCTTCTGGGCGGACTTGGTGACCTTTCCAGCACCTCCGCTCTTCTTCTCCACGTTCTTGATGACCCCAACAGCCACAGTCTGCCTCATGTCCCGTACGGCAAAACGCCCTGAAGGGGAGATGGTGGGGAAGGAACTCAACATTCAGGCAAAGCTAGAGATATTCGAGTCACAGAAATATAATTTGTGCCCCTAATTTTGTAATCCAGACTTTTCTACCCTTAAAGTTGACATAATTGCCCTCATAGGTGGTGTCTAGGTTAGCAATGTCATATAATGGCCCTCGTGGGTGGTGCCTAGGTCAGCAAGGTTACATAATGGTCTTCATGGGTGGTGTTTGGGTCAGCAAGGTCACATAATGGTTGTTGTGAGTGATGCCTAGGTCAGCAAGGTCACATAAATCCCTTGTGGATGTGTCTAGGTCAGAAAGGTCACATAATGGTTTTTGTGAGTGATGTCTAGGTCAGCAAGGTCACATAAAACCCCTGTGGATGTGTCTAGGTCAGAAAGGTCACATAATGGTTGTTGTGAGTGATGTCTAGGTCAGCAAGGTCACATAAAACCCTTGTGGATGTGTCTAGGTCAGAAAGGTCACATAATGGTTGTTGTGAGTGATGCCTAGGTCAGCAAGGTCACATAATGGTTGTTCTGAGTGGTGTCTAGGTCAGCAAGGTCACATAAAACCCTTGTGGGTGTATCTAGGTCAGAAAGGTCACATAAAACCCTTGTGGGTGTATTTAGGTCAGCAAGGTCACATAATGGTTGTTCTGAGTGGTGTCTAGGTCAGCAAGGTCACATAATGGTTGTTCTGAGTGGTGTCTAGGTCAGCAAGGTCACATAAAACCCTTGTGGGTGTATCTAGGTCAGAAAGGTCACATAAAACCCTTGTGGATGTATCTAGGTCAGAAAGGTCACATAATGGCCGTCATGGGTGGGGCGTAGGTCAGAAAACTCACATAATGGCTTTTGGTGGTGGTTAGGGTAACAAGGTTACATAATGGCTTTCGTGGGTGGTGTCTAGGTCAGCGAGATCACATAATGGTTGTTGTGTGTGGTGCCTAGGTCAGCAAGGTCACAACGGTTTTTGTGAGTGGTGGCTAGGTCAGCAAGGTCACATAAAACCCTTGTGGGTGTGTATAGGTCAGAAAGGTCACATAATGGCCCTCATGGTTGGGGCCTAGGTCAGAAAACTCACATAATGCCTTTTGTTGGTGGTGGTTAGATTAACAAGGTTACATAATGGCCTTCGTGGGTGGTGTCTAGGTCAGCAAGATCACATAATGGTTGTTCTGTGTGGTGCCTAGGTCAGCAAGGTCACATAAAACCCTTGTGGGTGTATATAGGTAAGAAAGGTCACATAATGGCCCTCATGGTTGGGGTCTAAGTCAGAAAACTCATATAATGACTCTTGTGGGTGGTGGTTAGCTTAACAGGGTCACATTATGGGCCTCATGAGTGTTGCCTAGGTCAGCAAGTTCACATTATGGTCCTTAAAGGTAGTCCCTAGATCAGCAAGGTCACATAAAAATCTCATGGGTGGTGCCAAGGTCAGCAAGGCCACATACAACCCTTGTGAATAGTGCCTAGGTCAGTAAAGTCACATACTTGCCCTCGTGGTTGGGGCCCAGGTGAGCAAAGTCACCTAATTATGGGCCTTGTGAGTGTTGCCTAGGTCAGTAAGGTCACATTATGGCCTTTAAGGGCCATCCCTAGGTAACAAGGTCATATAAAAATTTTGTGGATGGTGCCTAGGTGAACAAGGTCATGAAATGGCCCTTGGGGCTGGTGTCTGGGTTAGCAAGGTTACATAATGGCCCACATGGCTGGGGCCTAGGTCAGCAAAGTCACATAATAGCTCTTGTGGGTAGTGACAAGGTCACATAATACCAAGGCCACATATTAGCCCTCATGGGTGTCTAGGTCAACAGGGTCACAATTGTCACAATGGCTCCTTTACAAATCTATCCTCCCACTACTAATTGCTGAGGTCCATAGGCAGTACAACAAGTACCCAAGGGCTGCATGTGACCTTCTGGCAGCAGATTTAAGTGTAGGGTCACCAGCCCTGGTCTTCCTACATGGCAGTTTCATCCACTTTTATTAGATGATGTCATATGATGATCCCTTCTTGATATCCAGGTAAAAGCATAGAACTTGGGCTTAAGGATAGCACCTAACACTGCAAGTGGGTGGAGACCCCAAAAGCCAGGGTAAATCTCTTGGCCCAGATTTGGGACAATGACATTCCATAGACTGGGGTGCCTGACCTTATGACAAGCTCTTGGTACCTTTCAGGTATAATATAAACACTTTGAAGCCATTAAAGGCTTATCATCCAATAAAAATGTGACCTAATGCCTGAACTGTGGTAATGGTGGCTACTCACCAAGTGGAGGGTACTGGGAAAAGCTCTCAACACACATGGGCTTTCCAGGAATCATCTCTACAATGGCAGCATCTCCAGACTTCAGAGCCTTGGGGTTGTCCTCTAGCTTCTTACCGGAACGACGATCAATCTTCTCTTTAAGCTCTGCGAACTTGCAGGCGATGTGAGCAGTGTGGCAGTCAATGACGGGGGAGTATCCAGCACTAATCTGACCTGGGTGGTTCAAGATGATCACCTGCATAGGAGGAAATGAGGAAAGCTATAAGTGGAGTAGAAAAAAAAAGCCAAAACAAGGGAGCTCTTGACATGAAACCATGGTGTGTCACTGAAAACATATTGATGTGTTTTGGTTCCTTTAACAGCTTGCCATGGGTCTCCAGAAAACAAGGTAAGATTATCCATTCCTGGAAACTTTTCAATAAAGATCCAAGTTTCTGTCATTAGTGCTGCATCCACCAGAGGGCGCACACACAATATTACATGATATATTGAGGTGTCACTTGGGCCTCTTAGGCCTATGGAGAAATATATGGAGGTGTCACTTAGGCCAACAACTGACCAGATCTTACCTAGATCAAGGTTCTGATAGGTGTGGGGCACCAATGAAGATTCAATAGGGAAACAATATGTGCCCCACTACATACAAATCTCTTTCTCGAGGAATACACCACAAAGTTTTTTTTATTAAACAACTCAATGGCACAGTTTTCAAGATTTACAGACCTGAGAGGTGAACTGGGCAGCTTCCTGGGGAGGGTCAGCCTTGCTGTCCCCACACACGTTGCCACGGCGGATGTCCTTCACGGACACATTCTTGACGTTGAAGCCAACGTTGTCACCAGGCAGAGCTTCGCTGAGGGCCTCATGGTGCATCTCCACAGACTTCACCTCAGTGGTGATGTTCACAGGGGCAAAGGTCACCACCATGCCAGGTTTCAAGATGCCAGTCTCCACTCGGCCCACGGGAACTGTGCCGATACCTGCAGAGAATACGGAAACCTTGTCCAGAAAACAGAAATACTTACTAAGCTGGACTAACAGCAAGGAACTTGGTTGTAAGTGAAACCTTGTAAGTAGGTAACCCTTGTTAGTGAAGCCCTGTCTCTTTTTTGATGTCTTGATCCCTTTGGGGAGCTTCTTCGTCATCTCCTCTTCCATAGGCACAACAGGAAGTAAGAGAAAAGGAAATATTTCTAAAGTAAGGAAAAATTCCCATGACTGTCGCCAGAACATGTGTCCCCCATTGACAATGACTACCAGGGCAAACAGAGGTGGTGAATCTCCCCAGTGGGAACCCAAGACAACAATGGAAAGCAAAGATGGGTTCCAACCCTTCCCAGAAAATGTACCAATAATGGGCTCCATGTTTGGTGCTCCTGGTGAACCCCAGATTCTGGGCTTCATCGTAACCTTTCGAACCTTTATTTAGCCCACATTAAAATGTTAAGACGACATGGTAAGTCTTTCATGTTTCAAAATGCTACTTGTTTAAGGTCATACAGAATGCAAGACCTTTTCTGTTGCCATGCAAAACTTTTTTCTAAAATCAAGAGGGAAAGAGAGCGGGGTGAATCAGTTATGGAGAAGGATCTGGATGACCTAGCAGCAAAATATTTTTTAGTTTTGGATTGGGCTGGAAAGAGCTAAAACCTGCCAGGTTCTGTAGGCAAACCAATAGAAAAGGACATATTTAGAGAGTAAGCCCATTGGAAGATTTCCCTGCTATTTTTGTTCTGGCGATCAATTTTCTGGATTTTCCTTTATTTTCAGTTCCAATGATAATGGCCACCAGGAAAAATAGTGAGAGTTAATCTCCACAGCGGGAACACAGATGGCAATAAAAACTAAATATAGGTTCCAACCCTTCATCGCTCTACGAAAACTACAAAAAACGTTTTGGCTTTATATGCACATCAAGAGGTCCCACCTCTATTGGGCTGCATGTTTCTCAAGCAAAGGTCACACTCTGTAGGACACATTATAATCTGACTGTATAATCTGCTTTGGATCTATCTAAAAACTAAGTAGTCCATTGCAGGGGCGGACTGACCAATTGAGCACTTGGGCACTGCCCGAGGGCCCGGGGTCACTAGGGGGCCCCATGAAATGCCCGTGGTACATTTTATAGGCTTTTTTGGGTGTGCTTTGAGTGTGGGCAAGGACACAGGGGCCCCATGATCCCCTATTGGCCGGGGGCCCCATGAGTTGTCAGGCCTCCCTTGGTCCATTGGCCTGCCTGATTGGATAAAACTGATTGGAATGTCCAGTCTGACCCTACCATGACAAGGCTGTTGGTACAATGATTGTTAGGTAAGCCCTCAAGTTACATAGTTGTTGATGTATCTAAAGAGCATTGTGCAGAACTTGTACAACCAGGGGCGGACTGACCATTTGGAAACTCGGGCACTGCCCGGGGGCCCGGGGTCAGTAAGGGGCCCCATGAGATGCCCCTGATACCTTTTTCATAGGCTTTTTTGAGTTTGGGCAAGGACACAGGGGCCCTATGATCCCCTATTGCATGGGGGCCGCATGAGTTGTCAGTCCGCTCCTGTGTACACCCATATATTACTTAAAACACCCACAACTCTTCTGCCTTGTAGATGGTCGGATTAAGCCTCAATGTCCCCCCACCCTCTATTGCGCATGGCCACCCAACTTCCAATTTGCAGCAGATGTCTGGTTGAGAGTTGTGAGAGATGCTATGCGGTTGAGCTGTCTCTTCTTACATCGCAGCTCTCCTGCAGGAATCTTGTTCTGCTATTAAGTGCTACTTACCGCCAATCTTGTAGACATCTTGGAGGGGCAGTCTGAGAGGTTTGTCTGTGGGGCGAGTTGGGGGCAGGATTGTGTCCAAAGCTTCCAGAAGAGAAACTCCATTGGCATTGCCTTCCTTCCTCTCTCACCTTCCATCCCTTGAACCAAGGCATCTAAAGAACCAAAAGGCACATAGGAGACAAACCAAATGCAGAAACCAATCAAGCAATAAGAAATCCAATCAGTGCATTCAACATATGTATTCTAAAAAGTTTCAGGTAACAGCAGTAGAGTCTCATTAGATAAATGTCTGGTCTTGGAGGGGTTGGTGAAGGACACTATTGTAATTTTCTTTCAACTTTTTGAAAAAAAGGAAAACCTAGTACTAAGTGGGTAACGTGAGAAGAGTTCAAACACTCTGTCAGGTTTTTCTTGTTGTTGCTTGTGTTTTGTTAGGGATATTGTTCCTCAAGTTATAGCCTAGATAAATGGCAGAAAACACAGGTGGAAATCTCTCCAAAGAGTGTGGGAGATCCAAATGTTGCCACCAGAACCGGTGGGAGATGTCCCCCTACTCTTTTATCCAGTAACATTTGTTGGATTTTGGATTTATCTTCAGATTCTCTCATGATTTCAAGAAGTAATAAGAAATCTCACCAACAGGGACATAGGCAGCAATAACCAGAGGTTCTAACCCATTTCTAGAGTTCCATACTTTTTAGAAAAAAAAAAATGTTTTTGTAACCAATTGTATAATGCAAAATGAACTCCCAAAACCAACAAAATTCCTATGCAATTTTTGACATTCTGAAAGCCAGAGAAGAGGCTGGTCCTCTTTTTACATCGCAAATGACCATGCCTGGGCCTCCTAGTAGGTCACTTGGGCACCCAGCATTGAACTGGGATGCAGAGTGGGGACATGCTCAGCATTTTCGGACATCAGAATGTGTACGGGATGTTCTCGGGTCTCCTACGGTGCTCTGTAGGGGTAGTTTGAACACAAAAGGCATGTCCCATCATCGTATAGCTCCCTAACTTTTAGTGTATTAGTCCCTTTATTGGAATTCCCTCTCACCGCCCCTTCCCCCTTCACATTTTAGGCACCAATCCAAATTAACATTTTTTCCAATCTTCAAAAGCTTTGTTTAGTATTTTCAGGTCTTATATACGGCACATATAAGGGCAAAAAACACACTAGTTGGTTTTATGGACCATTTCCTGCGTATTAATTCTTTATAGTCTGGACATCCTTTGCCTAAATTATTTGCATTAAAAATGTCCCTCCTTCCCCTCATAGTTTGGTCCAGTAGGGAGTTGTGAGAAGCTGGAGGGGATGTCCCTGCCCTCGACTTTCTTAATATAGGTCATTAAGATTTTCTTATTAAAGTGCCCTGTGTTCTAGGTATCCAGGGAACTTTTGATGATGGGGTAAAAATGTGATCAAGCAATTGAGAGCAACTGTTTGTAAGCCATGAGGGCATATTGACTGCTTCTGTTTGATAACAGGCTGTTAGGATCTGCTCCATTAATTGTACCCATTGTCTGTAGGCCCAAGCAGGCATAGTAGAGACCATTGACTGCAGAGTCCCAGTTGGAAAACTGCCAATACATGTCTGAGCACGGTTGTCTCCTACTCTGATTTTCCTCCTGAGAATAAGACCTCTTTCTATCAGATCTTTAGTAATGTTTCTCTGTATGGACTGGTGCTCCCCGCAATCTAAAGTGCTCTTCAGTAGTGCCACCTTGGAGATCATAGTCTAGCAAATTCCTTGTAGAAAAACTCCTTCCTCACCATCAATGTCTCTAGTGAAGAACTGGTCCTCAAAGTACTTCTCAATAACTTACTCTATTGGTGTGTCCTACTACTGAGACTCCAGATATCTCTTCAGTTCCAGTTCCTCTGTATGGACTGGTGCCCCTCCAATCTCTAAAGTGGTCTTCAACAGGGCCACCTTGAAGATCATGGTCTAGCAAATAACTTGTAGAAAACTCCATCATCACCACCAGTGTCTCTGGTGAATAGCTGGTCCTCAAGGTACTTCTCGTGGTCTAGCAAGTTCATAGTAGAAAACTCCATCCTCACCACCAATGTCTCTGGTGAAGAACTGTTCCTTAAGGTACTTCTGAATAAGCTGTTCTATGGGTGTGTCCTACTTGGGACTCCAGGTGTCTCTTCAGTTCTAGTTCCTCTATATGGACTGGTGCCTCTCTAGTCTAAAATGGTCTTCAGCAGTGTACCACCTTGGAGATCATGGTTTAGCAAGTTCCTTGTAGAAAACTCCATCTTCACCACCAATGTCTCTGGTGAAGACCTGGTCCTCAAGGTACTTCTCAATAACCTACTCTATGGGTGTGTCCTAGTACTGGGACTCTAGATATCTCTTTCAGTTCCAGTTCCTCTACATGGACTGGTGCCCCTCCAATCTAAAGTGGTCTTCAACAGTGCCACCTTGGAGGTCATGGTCTAGCAAATAACTTGTAGAAAACTCCATCATCACCACCAGTGTTGCTGGTGAATAGCTGGTCCTCAAGGTACTTCTCATGGTCTAGCAAGTTCATAGTAGAAAACTCCATCCTCACCACCAATGTCTCCGGTGAAGACCTGATCCTCAAGGTACTTCTCAATAACCTACTCTATGGGTGTGTCCTACTACTGGGACTCCAGATATCTCTTCAGTTCCAGTTCCTCTGTATGGACTGGTGCCCCTCCAATATAAAGTGGTCTTTAACAGTGCCACCTTGAAGGTCATGGTCTAGCAAATAACTTGTAGAAAACTCCATCATCACCACCAGTGTCGCTGGTGAAGAGCTGGTCCTCAAGGTACTTCTCAATAACCTACTTTATGGGAGTGTTTCTACTACTGGGATTCCAGGTGTCTCACTAGTTCCAGGCTCACTTGGGCTTCCTGACCCTCTCTACCGTTCCTCCATCCTGTTCCACCACCAGAGCCGGGGAAACAGACAGGCAGTATCTATCTTTCCATCTTCTAAAGGGATGCAAGGCATGCAATACTGACACAACAAACTAACTTTGAAGTAAACCTGTTAGTCCAACAAACTAAAGCTGACTTATCCTCAGATATCCATCATCCTGATCCATTGCTTGCCTACCCAGTATGTCTTAGACCTGGAACAAACCAGCACATTCTAAAAAGGTCCAAAACTCCCATCCGGGTCAGGGGGGCTCATAAAGTGGTGAAGCAAGGGATCAGGATGAAAGCACCTTTAAAAAACCAAGTCAACGATGGCTGCCTCTATATTTCATTCCCCACACAGATCCACTTTAATTGTTCTCAAACCCAATGATCTGAAAATGTTCATTCCCTAATGAATGTCATAGAAATGTCTTATAACGTTTTTGTTTATGGCCCCTTTAGGTTCCTTGGCCCCTCAGGACGTCTACTGGACCCCGCCTACCCTCTTTTAGCAGCCCAGGAATAATCTATTAAAGCTGCCTCAATGAAGAGCAATGTAAAGGCCTTGTTTGGATGGCAGAGGTTCTGCTCGTCACAGTGCTGGCAGGCTGCCCTGGTCTTTTTATAACTGGCTTTATAGGATCCGATGTCCGCGGAATGTTCTGGAAGGGCCAGATAGACAGCAGTGATGAGTCAGGGCCCGTATAGCTAAATGAAGACATCGCGAGGGGGGGGGGGGGGGGGGGGGCGGCCATGGCGCTTTTCAGCGATGAGTGCAGGCTGGCTTTCCTCAAGAGATCAGCACCTGCATGCAGCACTTTACAGAATGCACACCTCTTAGTCACGCAACAGAACCCGACGCCATTCCACTGACTGCGACTCACAGCGACGGACATAAAAGATTATTCAAAACCTCATTTTACAAAATGTCTGCAGATGTGAAAAACTGAAATCAAGAACAAGTACGAACCTACAGTGTAGCTTTACTAAAACCAAAACAAAAATAGAAAAAATAAATTGACATAAATAAAATACGATATCAACACTACTGTGCCTAAAACATCCAACCAACCCCAGGGATTAATCTAACACACCACAGCCAGATCCAACAGGCCTTTCACGGTGCCTCTGGGACCACCACCACAGAACGTGGAAACCGAGAACCACGCAGTTCAGGGCTATTTAAAAACATAAGCTGCCATAGATGGTCTACATAGAAGGTCTACATAGAAGGTCTACATAGACGGTCTACATAGATGGTCTACATGGATGGTCTACATAGACGGTCTACATGGATGGTCTACATGGATGGTCTACATGGATGGTCTACATAGACGGCCTACATAGATGGTCTACATAGACAGTCTACATAGACGGCCTAGATAGACGGCCTACATAGATGGTCTACAGGAGGTGAAGGATGAAATATTTGACGCTTGGCAGGAAGACTGTGCATCTAATGGAGTCCGAATGCAACATTTTCACCTTTGATAACAAGCTTCTCAAAGCAATATATAAATCAATATGGACACAATTACGATACCCAAACCTGCCGTGACTGCAATGCTTAATGAGTGAATCCACCCAAATCTGGTATTTCACTGTTTGGAGGATGCTGGAGAGTTAAACCCCATGACACTTCTTTCTATCTTCTATCTATCTTGGTAGGACCATTATGAGGGGTTCCGACCATCCCTGAGCCGAGTTCCCGGGTCTGTACACCCGCTGTGCCCATTATGAGGGGTTCCCTACCATCCCTGTGCTGAGTTCCCGGTCTGCACACCCGCTGTGCCCATTATGAGGGGTTCCCCGCTATCCCTGTGCTGAGTTCTCAGATCTGTAAACCTGCTGTGCCCATTATGGGGGGGGGTTTCCCGCTATTGCTGTGCTGAGTTCCCAGGTCTGTACACCCACTGTGATGATTATGAGGGGTTCCCACCATCCCTGTGTTGACTTCCCGACTTCCCGGAGGGGTTCTGTACACCCACCGTGCCCATTATGAGGGGTTCCCATTATCCCTGTGCTGAGTTCCCGGGTCTACTGGAATGTAACTGGATTAGAAGCTTGGACACATCAAGGTGGACAAAACACCCCAAAACTCCCAGACTGGCGGGAACAGAACCTGGATCTGTAGCAGGAAGATACTATAGCACTGCTGGACCCAATGATTCCTATCACATCGGATATTTCTCTAATCCAAGAATATCATTATTTATGGGAACAATTGTTATTTTTAGTAATAATGGTGCAACGAGAGCCGAAAAAAATGTTCAGCAGAGAAAATAGCCAGCATGGTGGCAAATAGCATGTATGTAGCTTAGTGAATGAAGCTCTCAGGAAGTGAATGAAGCTCTCAGGAAGTGAATTAAATTCTTAGGAAGTGAATGAAGCTCTTAGGAAGTGAATGAAGCTCTTAGGAAGTGAATGAAGCTCTTAGGAAGTGAATTAAATTCTTAGGAAGTGAATGAAGCTCTTAGGAAAAGAATGAAGCTCTTAGGAAGTGAATTAAATTCTTAGAAAGTGAATGAAGCTCTTAAGAATGAAACTCTTAGAAAGTGAATGAAACTCTTAGAAAGTGAATGAAACTCTTAGAAAGTGAATGAAGCTCACAGGAAGTGAATGAAGCTCACAGGAAGTGAATGAAATTCTTAGGAAGTGAATGAAGCTCTTAGGAAATGAATGAAGCTCTTAGAAAGTGAATGAAGCTCTTAGGAAGTGAATGAAAATCTTAGGAAGTGAATGAAGCTCTTAGGAAGTGAATGAAGCTCTCAGGAAGTGAATGAAGCTCTTAGGAAGTGAATGAGACTCTTAGGAAGTGAATGCACACCCCGCCTGTAACGACAATCTCAGCTCCCATGCTGCAGCCATTCAGTGGGTCCTAAATAACTGTAGATGAGTATACAAAGAATTACAAAACTCCCCCGGGGGTGCGGGCTCATCGTCCTCACCTGTAGCTGAAATGTCAGTTTTGGGTGGAGTGGCCCTTCAGCTATCTCCTCTCCCTGGATACACTGTCTGGTGGAAAAGCTCATGAGCCAAGCTTCAGAGGGCTGCCAGGAAGGATTCTGGATTCTGGATCAGACTAGCCAACGCAGGCCATTGTGATCCGTTCCAAGAGCGAACACACCCAGCTCAACAACAGTGACTCCATGCGGCCGTTGGAAACTCACGCACACTCCAACTGTCCATCAGAGAATCAACTATCACTATCCAGGCACTAGGCTATGGTGGGAAAGTCCAGTGTGTTTGTCCTATTTGATCCTAGGGAATCCATATCACCCCAGGTTCACACCTAAGCGTTTCCGGCACGTTTTGCAGAAACGCACTACAGTCCATGTAACATGATTTCCTATGGGACACGTTCACATCTCCGCATTTTCACCCGGTGCATTTTTTGGAAAGGGTCGGGGACTTCTTTAAACGCAAAAAGTTGCGTTTTTGGTTTTACAGACTTCAATGGAAATGCTGCAGAAAAGCATGTATTGTGTTTTTTGCTGCGTTTTGAGTTTTAAATCTGCCTAGCAACAAGAAAATAAAAAAAAAACAAAAAACAAAAAAGCATCACAAACGTGGCAAAAAACGCAGGTGCAAAAATGCAAAACGCAATGCAGAAATGGCTGAAACGCAAACCTGCAGAGGTGTGAACCTAGCCTTCAGCAGGCTTTTCACAGTGCTTCTTTCAAAGCCTGCAGTCTTTTTCTAGAGGTCTGTTCATTAAAAGGGAACAATAATCTCAAGGCAGACCTCCAGAAAACCACATTTTAGTCATTGAATGTGTTTTACAAGTACTGCTGGTATAACAGAATAACATCATTTTATATATAATCTTTCCCCTGCAGAAGAAATCAGGCAGGGAATGGAAAGTTTTATTACGCTGTGTAATAATGCCAGTCTGCTGTGTTTCAGGCACTGGGGGCTGGAGGGGGAGGTGCTTAGGTGTCTGCCAACAGGAGAGCGGCTTTCCTGGAGTTGTGAGAGTGCAGTGCCCAGTGTTAGCCAGCAGGGTGAGTCCCTGTGTGTCATGTCACTTACATTGGGGGATGGTTCCAGCATGTTGTCCCCGTGCCAGCCAGAGATGGGCACAAAGGGCACGGTGGACGGGTTGTAGCCAATCTTCTTGATGTAGGCGCTGACCTCCTTCACGATCTCATCGTAACGCTTCTCGCTGTATGGCGGCTCAGTAGAGTCCATTTTATTGATCCCTACGATCAGTTGTTTCACACCCAGGGTGTACGCCAGCAGGGCATGCTCTCGGGTCTGCCCGTTCTTGGAGATTCCAGCCTCAAACTCACCCACGCCGGCCGCCACGATCAGCACCGCGCAGTCTGCCTGCAGGGGGGGGGGGGAGACAGTGCTTACCTATTGGACGGATCTGAGCCAATCCAAAGTTACTGACATCACTTCTGTCTGTCTATCCCATTCAATCCATTCCATTATATATATATTATATTTCTCCCATTGCACATTATCTATCTATCCCATCCATCTGTCCATCCATCCCTCCATCTACTCATCCATCCATCCATCCATCTCTCCTGGTACTCATGTCCTGTTGTACTATAACTGTAATTATCTGTTCGTCTATCTATCTATCTATCTATCTATCTATCTATCTATCCATCTCTCAACTCCCTCTATCTATCTATCTATCTATCTATCTATCTCTCTCTATATCTATCTCTCTATCCTATCTATCTATCTATCTCTATCCCTATCCATCTATCTATCTATCTCTATCTATCTATCTATCTATCTATCTATCTATCTATCTATCTCTATCTATCTATCTATCTCTATCTATCTATCTATCCCTCTATTATCATCTATCTATCTATCTATCTATCTATCTATCCATCTATCTATCTATCTATCTATCTATCTATCTATCTATCTATCCCTCCCTATCTATCTATCTATCTATCTATCCCTCCCATCTATCTATCTATCTATCTATCTATCTATCCCTATCCCCCATATCTATCTATCTATCTATCTATCTATCTATCTATCTATCTCTATCTATCTATCTATCTATCTATCATATCTATCTATCTATCTATCTCCCATATCTATCTATCTATCTATCTATCTATCTATCTATCTATCCCTCCCATATCTATCTATCTATCTATCTATCTATCCCTATCTCCATATCGTATCTATCTATCTATCTATCTATCTATCTATCTATCTATCTATCTATCTCTATCTATCTATCTATCTATCTATCTATCTATCTATCTATCTATCCTCCATCCCATCTATCTATCTATCTATCTATCTATCTATCTATCTATCTATCTATCTATCTATCTATCTATCTATCTATCTATCTATCCATATCTATCTATCTATCTATCTATCTATCTATCTATCTATCTATCTATCCTATCTATCATACACCTCCCATATCTATCTATCTATCTATAATTATCTATCCATCCATCCATTTATATCTATCTACTATCTATCTATCATCTATCTATCTATCTCTCTATTACACCATCCAATAATTTATCCATCCATCCATCCATCCATTCATCTATCTATCCATCCATTTATACACCTATGCATCCATCCATCCATTAATCTACTCACCCATCCATAAAAATCCATCAATCCATTAATCCATATACCCATGCATACATCCATTCCTTCCATTTATACACCTATCCACCAACCATCCATCCATTTTTACAAACATTGACCCATGCATCCATCCATTCATCATCCATCCATTTATACACCCATGCATTCATACATCCATCCACTCATTTATACATCTGTCCACCCATCCATCCATGTATACACCCATCCATCCATGCATCCATTCATTCATCCATCCATTCCTACATCCATCCATTTATACACCCATGCATCCATCCATCTACTCACCCATCTATAAATAAATCCATGCATACATCCATTCATCCATCAATCCATTTATACACCTATCCACCCATCCATGCATCCATTTATACACCCATGCATCCATTCATTCATCCAACCATCCATTTATCCATCCATTCATTTATACACCCATGCATCTATCCATCCATTCATTCATCCATCCATCCATTCATTCATCCATCCATATACCCATGCACCCATCCGTACATTTATGCAGCCATCTATCCCTCCTCCTCACCTGTGATGTTCCGGTGATCATGTTCTTGATGAAGTCACGATGTCCGGGGGCATCGATGATGGTGATGTAATATTTGGTGGTCTCGAACTTCCACAGAGAGATGTCGATGGTGATTCCTCTCTCCCGTTCGGCCTTCAGCTTGTCGAGAACCCAGGCGTACTTAAAGGAGCCCTTCCCCATCTGTCAGGAGAGGTGATCACACGCATTATACTGGGCAGACCCTAACCTTTCCTTGTATCACCTGAACACCTAGCTATGACTGTCCTCCTCAAGGTATCCCATCGTTTTTTCCCTACAATAACTGGTCTGTGTCCTGATGATTCTCTACTACAAGTCAACCAGACAGAGTCTGCTTGACTGAAAGCAAAGTCTCTGCAGTCTTTAATGAAGTGAAACAACCACTATATCACAGTCTGCCAGCCGCCATGTGATCTCCACTGCCAAGGCTTTAGGTTTCCTATTCACAGATTCATGGAAGGCCTTTTAATTCCCCACCCCTGATCCCCACCCCAGCATCTCCCCATCCCTGACCTCCCCAGCATCTCCCCATCCCTGACCTCCCCACCCCAGCATCTCCCCATCCCAGCATCTCCCCATCTCTGACCTCCCTACCCTTGACCTTCCCAACCCAGCACCTCCCCATCCCTGACCTCCATACCCCTGACCTCCCCATCCCAGCATCTCCCAATCCCTGATATCCCAACCCCAGCACCTCCCCATCCCTGACCTCCGTACCCCTGACCTCCCCACCCCAGCACCTCCCCATCCCTGACCTCCCTACCCCTGACCTCCACACTCCAGCATCTCCTCATCCCTGACCTCCCTACCCCTGACCTCCCCATCCCTGAGCTCCCCACCCCAGCACCTCCCCATTCCTCACCACCCTACCTCTGACCTCCCCACCCCAACATCTCCCGATCCCTGACCTCCCCATCCCAGTACCTCCCCATCCCTGACCTCCATACCCCTGACCTCCATACCCCTGACCTCCCCATCCCAGCACCTCCCCATCCCAGCACCTCCATACCCCTGACATCCCCACCCCAGCACCTCCCCATCCCTGACCTCCATAACCCTGACCTCCCAATCCCTGATATCCCAACCCCAGCACCTCCCCATCCCTGACCTCCGTACCCCTGACCTCCACACTCCAGCATCTCCTCATCCCTGACCTCCCTACCCCTGACCTCCCCATCCCTGACCTCCACATCCCTGAGCTCCACATCCCTGAGCTCCACATCCCTGAGCTCCCTACCCCTGACTTCCCCATTCCTCACCACCCTACCCCTGACCTCCCCACCACCAGCATCTCCCGATCTGTGACCTCCCAACCCCAGCACCTCCCCACCCCTAACCTCTTATTATTTGCAGCCCTTCCCCATTCACTTGAATAGGTTCTGTTTGGTGAGCTTGCCGTCTGTCACACCTGCGGCATGTAAGGACCCATCAGCTTAAGGCGGGGCAGTGGGGGGCGTTAAAACATGGCTTAACCAAGCATTTTTACCACCCAAAACCGTACATCTAAACTTAGCTTTAGAAGGAGTACTGAGGCAGGGTGCTGTGATGTTTTCAGGATGCTATGTACAGCACCCTACTGGCCCCTTCCACCAGCCATGATCTGCCTGCATTGCAGAGAGAAGCAAAGAGACCCAGTAAGGATGTCAATGGATCTAATATAAGGTAGGTAATGAAAACAGAAACGTCATGTTGATGGGGAGCGAAAAGGGGGAACCAGGGAAGCAGATTAAACGTCAGCTTTAATGAACACTGCAGCTCTTCTATGAGATGTCAGAGGTTGGGCTCACATAGATCTTTCTAATTAGGTTCTGCTTTCAGTATATATATAAAAAGGAAAAAGAAACGGATAATTGCGTTGGTTTTTGATCTACAAAAGGCGATTCTAACACACACACAGCGTGATCGGCGTCCTGAATGCGCCCATCGCCTGCGCCCATGCACGGGTTAAGGTCACCGACACCCCCGGCGCAGTCTCGCATTTCCTAGCTGTGCGTAGCTGATAGGACAGTGTGCCCTCTGCGACGCACGCAGCAAATGGAGCCTTCCAGCTCAGCTATAATTAAACCTGGCAAGCGGCAGCTCTCTCCGCACCCTCCGCACCCTCCGCGCCCAGCTGCTGCTGTTGATCACTGCGGCCGGCGTGGATATCTCTAGAACACAACGCTCTCTGTGAGCTTGTCGCCATCTGCATCTCAGCCTCTCCTGGGCCTCCTCCGCTGAGTCAGTCCTAAGGATAGGAGGACGGTGAATGCCTGCCATCCTGATTTAACCCCAAATATAGACGACGTCCTGATGCCATCAAGTATAGTACAGGGTCCTTAGAACCAGAAGGGTAAGGCTACGCAGCCAGCTGCCTAGGGTGCTGAGCAAAACAGGGGCACAATATCACAAATGGGAAACGTGGGGTAATAAGAGGTAACTGTGAGGATGTGGCTGACAGCCGAATAAGATATTATAATTATTCTTTTTTTTTTTTAATAAAAGATCATTAAAAGGTTACAACTTTCCCAAATGGAACGGGCCCTGAAATGACACTGTTAGTAATCCCTAGCTACATATCTGTTTTTAATTAAAGATAAATAATAATCACCTGTACATCACCAGTCAGTCAGGATCTGCTGCTGTCAGTCTGACAATGGTAGCTAGCTGACAGGTAGAAAAAGAGCTGATGACCTAAAGTGTGCTACTGCCCAATCACAGGCCTGCTTTGCTTAAAGGAAAGCCATGCTTAGAGAATTATCTCTTCGAAAAATAATAAGTGAGGATCAGGAGCAGACTGACAACTCATGGGGCCCCCGGGCAATAGGGGATCATGGGGCCCCCAGGCAATATGGGATTATGGGGCCCCTGTGTCCTTGCCCAAACTCAAAAAAGCCTAAGGAAAAGGTACCAGGGACATGTCATGAGGCCCCCTACTGACCCCAGGCCCTCGGGCAGTGCCTGAGTTCCCGAATGCTCAGTCCGCCCCTGGTGAGGATCAATATGAAGCCAACCAACCAGGATTTAGAGTAGGAGCAAGCAACCTTGGTACTCCAGCTGCTGTGGGACTACAAGTCCCAGATAAGATGCCCATAAATGTCACCGGGGACACTGATAGCAGCTCTTAAATATATATCTGTTTTTTAAGCGCCTAATCATCCCCTGTACATCACCAGTCAGTCAGGATCTCCCGCTGTCAGTCTAACAATGGTAACTAGCTGACAGGTGGAAGGAGCAGAGCGATGACTTTCTCAGTGTGCTACTGCTCCTTCACTGTCCAATCACAGGCCTGCTTTGCTTAAAAAACCCATGCTTGGAGAATTATCCGTTCGAAAAATAATAAGTGAGCATCAGAGGATCAATATGAAGCCAACCAACCAGATTTAGAGTAGGAGCAGGCAACCTCGGTACTCCAGCTGCTGTGGGACTACAAGTCCCAGCTAAGATGCCCATAAATGTCACCGGGGACACTGTTAGCAGCTCTTAATTATATATCTGTTTTTTAATGCAAGCACCTAATTCCCTGTACATCACCAGTCAGTCAGTCAGGATCTCCCGCTGTCAGTCTAACAATGGTAGCTAGCTGACAGGTGGAAGGAGCAGAGCGATGACTTTCTCAGTGTGCTACTGCTCCTTCACTGTCCAATCACAGGCCTGCTTTGCTTAAAGAAATATGGAGGTTATCTGTTTTGAAAAATAACAAGTGAATGTCAAAGGATCAACATGAAAGGTAAGCAACCAGTACTTAGAGTAGGAGTAGGCAACCTCAGCTGCTGTGGGACTACAAGTCCCAAAGGAGAATGGCTCCTTAAATGTCAGCAAGGAACACTCTGTTTATAACGAAAGCACCGAAGAAGTCAGGATCTGCTGCTGTCAGTCTAACAATGGCGGCTGGCTGACAGGTGGAAAGAGCAGAGTGATAACTTTCCCGACTTGCTACTGCTCCCTTACTGTCCAATCACAGGTCTGGGCAGGTCCTGTGCTGTTTAAAGGCGGCCCATGCTTAGAGAAATATGGAGGCTATCCCTCCTGAAAGTAATAAGTGCTAATATCGGAGGATGAACATGAGAGCCAAGCAGATCGTATTTAGAGAAGGGTGGGGAACCTTGGCACCGCAGCTGTTGTGGAACTACAAGTCCCATGAGGCACAGCAAGACTCTGACAGCCACAGGCATGACTGCCAGAGGCACAATGGGATCTGTAGTTTCGCCGCGGCTGAAGCCGAGGTTGCCTAACCCTGATTTAGAGCAGCCATTCTACTTTGGATCAGGGATTTGTGTTTCATGGCCGACAAGCCAATCAGGGTCCTGATTCATTAAGCTGCAATATGGAAGAGCTAAGCAGCACTTAAGGCATGCTAAAATGATATTCAATAACATCAGATAAGAGGCCACTTTAGCATGCCATAAAGTTGAACTCCAGTATATGTAAATGTTGTCTAAATCAGGGGTGGGCAACTGTGGCCCTCCAGCTGTTGGTGAACTACAAGTCCCATCATGCCTCTGCCTTTGGGAGTCATGCTTGTAACTGTCAGTTTTGCAATGCCTCATGGGACTTGTAGTTCTACAACAGCTGGAGGGCCACAGTTGCCCACCCCTGGTCTAAATCCATTCATGGTATGTATTGTTTCTCGGTGGGCTTTGTGTATTTCTTCCAGATCTGTGCAGAAATCCAGTGTGAAACTTTGCCTCGGTGTAATAAAGACCGCTCACCCCTGCTCTCTCTCTATGTGCAGGGTGACTGGTCTTGTCTCCGCCCCCTACTGTAGTTTTCTGCAGGCAGCCTGCAGAGGGTGGAGCCTGCTGGGCCCCTCCCACAGCTCTGCTCACTGCACAGCAAAGTGATGATGCCACTGCTACTTTGACAAGGTAATATCTGGATTTGTTAAGGCATTCAGAGCACACATAGTAGATTTATATATTTTGTACCTATGGAGGAATATATTATATAGCAGAGAGCTGTTGCCCAGAAATTAGCATTTAAAATGGGCAGTTTGAAGAATCAGAGCCCTTGGCCTCCCCCTAAACCCTCACCTCAGCGGCCTCCTTCTCGAATTTCTCTATCGTCCTCTTGTCGATGCCTCCACATTTGTAAATCAGGTGGCCGGTGGTGGTGGATTTGCCGGAGTCAACGTGGCCGATGACCACGATGTTAATGTGGGTCTTCTCTTTCCCCATCTTCCT